AGGCTTGATACATCTAGAACTGTCCTGTTTATCTTCGCAAGCTCGTCGCAGGGAATAGCGTAAAACATAGTAATTAGTTTAGTGTGGTAATTAACGTTCCTCAACAATAATTTGCATCCACCCAATATATTCACAGCAATCGAGATTAGCGAGACTAACGACCTGTCGGCTGCTTTTAACGTTGCACAAAAAATTTCGTCCGCCTGCGTTATTTGTTTTTTTTTTTTGCCAGGGGCATCAATTTATAATCGCATATATTTCTCGCACGTTAAACGAACGAAAATCTCGGAAATATGTCATAATACAAAAGTAAAAGGTTTCAAAGAAAATCTCTATTCATCAAAAACACTATTCAATACTGCGAATAGACATCCTAATATCGATGAAGGGAGCAATTAAAGCATTGCGGAGAGAAAAGATGAGGGAATCATTCCCTAGATATCGATTTTTCTACGGACAATCGAGAAGTCGAATACGTTTGCAGAATGAATCGCAAAAATAAACGAACAACCCTTCGGAACTTCGGATCCATTAAGCACGAGAAACTTCTACATCGAAATAAAAGCCTGTTAGAATATACCTATGTGGTCCATTACATGTACATAATTTAATACTTTTTTGAAAGGTATTTCATTACAATAATGCATCTCTTTCGAATCATAGATAACAAAAACCAAAAAAATGTAATAGCAAGAAATTAAAGAGTAAGAGATTGAATGTAATTAACATTTTAATATTTTATTATACTATTATTCTTAAACTACTTTCCAATAGATTTCAATTTGTGAAATGACTATAAGGAATCTATAAGGAAGAATTACAATCGAAACGAAATTGTTTTTGCTGAGTAAAATTGTAATATTACAAATTTTGTATATGTATATTATTTTCGGTCAATTAAAATTTAAGACTGGCCAGAGAAATTCATTAACTCCTTGTCTAATTGCATCAATTAATTATAATCAAGCATAGTAGAAGTTATAACGTCGGTGACCTTAATGGGGAAGCGATTGCTCTTCAAGGACATTCCAAGCAAGCGCACAGCGAGACTTCGCGTGCGCTTCGTTATATACGATAATGTTGGTCAACGAACCCTCCTCGCGATAACGGTGGATCAATTGAAATGCACCCCTCGCGCGCGCTATCCCAGACCGGCCATTACTACGATGCAAGGGCCACTCCATTTTCTTACTCGAAACATGTCTCTCGGATACAGGATATTTTCCTTCAGGTTGAAGTACTCGGGAATGTATGAATTTTCCGATATACGCCGAGATAACGTAAGCGATTTTAGTAAGATTTTATATGGCATCCGTTACCGTTCCATTACGAAAATAACTGAGCTATTTTTCACAAATATCTCTTGCGTCGTTTCACGAAAAGAATGCTGTAATCTTTCACAGAAGATAAAAAATAAGTTTATTGAAAATTGAAATGGAATTTTTGTTGTATGAGAAATTATCGAAACTTCGAAATTGTGAAAAACCTAATCGTTTAATATTTCCAAGAAAATGATATTTTCGATACGTCCTATCTGAAGTTGCAAGTCCGGAAAGATATGACGAGAATCGAAAGCTTGTGACTTGACCAACCGTAATACCAGATGGTAAACAACGTTACTACGCTACAATCTACGCGACAATTTCATGGAGTGAGCTTTATCTTTAGTGCAGCATGCATACAGATAAAAATTTCACGGTACCATCGTCAGCGTCTCATTCGTGAGCAGATACAAGTGTAATAATGTAACCGTTATATAGTTCGCGCTCTCATCGACGTGACAAATAAAATGTTATGTTCGCTATATCGATTAATAAACGAGTTCGTGTTGCGTTTTACGCTCGCGTAGATGCTGAACACTAATCCTGAAATATTGCGCACATCAATGGATCAACACAAAGAAAGCAGATTCTCAGAATCTGCTGCTCGACTTACGTTAGTAATAGAAATAGTAAGCGCAAAAAATTTCTAAACTTTGACATAATAAAACATGAGGAGATTTAATTAGTTACAATTGTTTTTAAATAGTTACAATTTTATTAGTTTTAAAACTTACAGAGATAATATTAAAAAGATAAATGGAATTGAAAATAGCATAAGTGTAAATATTAAATAAATTATATAAATATAATGAATTCAATATTAACTTATATATATATACAGTGGCGTGCAAAAGTTTCCGGCCAGTGACATTTTGTACTCTAATTTATTTTAAAAAACTCTAATAAAATTAATTTAAAATAAATTAGAGTACAAA